GGACAGTGGATGCAAGAACGCGCACCACACACACACGCACACACACGCACCACACACGGTCCTGAGACAAGTCGTGCACTCTCGTATCACACGTGCACATCACTTGTCGTTGCTCTCCAAACTCACCGCGACGCGGTAGATCTTGTACAGGGCGGGCATGCGGTCATCTCCGCCGGCACTTCCCATATCACGGCTGTGTTCAGCAGCGACAAGCACGCCAAAACACCGTCAAACCAGCGGCCGCCACAAGCAAGCGAAGCCAATACCCACGAACACACACATTCACACACACACACACACACACACACACACACACACACACACACACACACACACACACACACACTGAGCCAGTGCGATCGTCCTTCCACACCTCATCTTCTTCTCGTCTTGTCTCTTGTTTGGCGGAAGTCCTGAAGATTTGTGGGTGTGGTGGATATTTTTCTTTCGTGTGACGCCACCTCGCGCAAAAATGATGCAGGCGTGCTGTTGTGGAGGACGAGGCGTCATGCGCCCCTTTCTGACGATGACCAGCACCACCAACACCATGCACAGGTGGGCTGGTGCGGCAGCAGCCCTCATGGCACGCCAACAGCCGGTGAACCTCGCCGCCACTTTGTCCGCTACTGCAGTGCGCCAATGCGCGCGCTTTCAGCATGGCTCTGCGATGCCGGAGCCGGATCAACACCAAGAAGCCACAGATGGGCAACGCCATTCGCAGAAGGAAGGACCAGCACACCAAACTCAACAAGAGCAGTCCCGTGTGTCGTCGGTGCTTACGGATTTGTTCGGCCGCCAGCACAGCTATTTGCGCATCAGCCTCACAGAGCGCTGCAACCTCCGATGTGAGTTCAGCAGCGTTGCGGGTCTCTTTGTGTTGCTCTTTGTTGCTATTCGTGTGCTCCTGATCGCAGCACCTTGCTGGTCTTTCGCACTTTCTAATCGAGATGCATTGCATGTGTGTGTGTGTATTTTGTGTTTTGTGAATTGCTTGCGTGTCTGTGTCTGCGTCTGTCTGTCTGTGTATGTGTCAATGTATTTTGTTGTATGTGTGTGTGTCTGTGTCTGTGTCTATGTGTTGTGTATTATGTGCGTTTCGTGTTGAGCAGGCCAGTACTGCATGCCTGAGGAAGGCGTGCAGCTGTCACCAAAGGACGAGCTGCTCACCTTTGATGAGCTGGTGCGATTGGCCCGCATCTTCGCTTCAAACGGCGTCAGCAAGATCCGACTCACAGGTGGAGAGCCCCTCCTGTATCCCCAGCTCTCCGACCTCATTCGTACGTTTCCTTAGGCTGCGATTTGCCCGTGGGACATGTCTGCACACCCTGTACACACGCGTCTATGTGCATGCGTGTGTGCATGTGTGTATGCGTATGTGTGGGGTGCATGTGTATGCGTATGTGTGGGGGTGCGTGTGTGTGCGTATGTGTGGGCTGCATGTGTACGCAAATGAGTGTTCCTTTTGAGTTCATAATCACATATAATCACATACTCACACACGCACGCGCACAGGGGAGTTCCGAGGCATGCCAGGCATTGAGAGTGTTGGCATCACAACCAATGGCTTGACGCTGGCACGCAAGCTGGATGCCCTGAAGGATGCCGGCCTCACCCATTTGAACGTCAGCCTCGACACCTTCCACGAGCACAAGTTCAACATCATCTCCAGACGCAGAGGTTTGCGCGTGGGGTTGTTTGTTTGCTTGTTTGTTTGTTTGTTTGTTTGTTTGTTTGTTTGTTTGTTTGTTTGTTTGTGTGTTTGTGTGTGTGTGTGTTGCATGTATGACGTGCACAGCCGCAGCGGTGCCATTGCATGTTCACAATGCCCATTGTTGATATTCCCCCGCCCCGGGCGCCAGGGCTGGACCGGGTGTTCCGTGGGATTGATGCGGCCATTGATGCTGGCTTGACCCCAAAAATCAACGTCGTGCTGACCCGCAACGTCAACGATGATGAGCTGCTCGACTTTGTCGAGTGGACGCGCGAGAAGCCGGTTGATGTTCGCTTCATCGAATACATGCCCTTTGATGGTCAGTCAAATTGTTCGCGTGTGTGCGTGTGTGTGTAGTGTGTCTGTGTCTCTGTGTCTGCGCATGTGTGCGCGCATGTGTTTGTGTCTGCGTATGAGTACGTGTGCTCTTCGAGATGCATACACGTTGACTGTTCGCCCATTTGCGTTTGCTTCCCTCCTTTACATACTCCCTCGTGGTTTCCCCGCTCCCACTCACTCGACATACACGCTTGCGCTGACCATCTTGCCTGCAGGCAACCGATGGAACATGGACCGGTTTGTGTCGTACAAAGAGATGCTGGAGAGGATTGAGCAGCGGTTCACCCTCACTCGCCTCTCAGATCATCCCAATGACACGTCAAAGGTGTGCGTGTGTTGTGTGCATGTGGGTGTGTGTGCATGTGTGTGTGTGTGCATGTGTGTGTGTGTGTGACTGTCTGCTGTTTCACCGTCGTCAGTCTCACCACCACCGCCGCCGCCACCACCACCGCCACCATTGTCGCTGCCAGGCGTGGTGGGTGCCCGGCCATGCGGGACGAATTGGTTTCATTACATCCATGAGCGAGCACTTTTGTGGCTCCTGTAATCGCCTGCGCATCACTGCAAACGGCCAATTGAAGGTCCGGCGCTGTCTTGTTTACTTATTTGATTGATTGCGTGTTTGGTTGATTCATTGCTTGTTTGCTCATTTGCTTGTTTGCTCATTCATCCACTCATCCACTCGTGCGTGTGTTCATCTGTCCACCCTGTGTGTGCGTGCTCTCGGCTGCGCTTCGTGCTGTACATGCTTGTTGTTCCTCGTTGTACGCTGTGGCGTGTACATGCCACCCCTTCCCACACTTCCCTCCCCACACTCCCTCCCCACACTCCCTCCCCACACTCCCGCTCACCCACACACACACCCCCACACACACACACACACGCACTTCCCCGCATACGCCATGTACACGCGTCTGCAGGTGTGCCTATTTGGCAGTACGGAGGTTGATCTCAAGCACGCGCTGCGGCGGAGCGAGAACGACGAGGAGACGATTCGTGAGATCGACGCGGCTGTGAAGCGGAAGAAGAAGCAGCATGCAGGCATGTTTGAGTTGGCAAAGAGGAAAAATCGGCCCATGATCCTTATTGGCGGCTGACGCTGTTGCGCTTCTCTTCCCAGTAGCTTGCTCTGCTTCACTAATGTGAGTATGCTGTGCCGTGTCGTGTTTCATGTTTCAACCACGCTGAGTGGTGCTGTGGCTTCGCGATCGATCTCTTGCCCACCTCTCCTCTGTCTCCTCCCGCCTCTCCTCTCCACTTGTTGTCTTTGGTGTCGACTTCCTTCGCTGACCACTACCCCTTTTCTTCGATCCCTCCCTCCCCCCGACACCCCCGCCCCCTTCTTGTTGCTTCAAACCGTCTTGTACAGGTGTATACTGCCCTTACCAGGCCACGCCAACCCGTTTCTCACTGTGGTGTCTCCTTGCTTGCATTCCCCCCCCCCCGCCCTCACTGTGCAGAATCGACCCATCCTACTTCTGCTCGGCCGTTACCGTCATTGTCGTCGTCGTCGTCGTTACCGTCCCCACTCGTGTCTTCTTGCGTCTCGCCCCTCGTTCGTCGTGCCACCACGCCCTCGTCGCCTTCATCTGCAACTCGTGTTTCCTCCTCCTCCTCCTCCTCCACCGTGGACGAGGCTGGCGACACCATCGCGGGTGTGGGCATGCCGCTGTATCGTTTGCTGCCACCGGCGTCTTCGTTTCTCCTTTTCTCGTCACCTGCACCCCTGCAAGACCAGCCACACAGGCCACGGCATGCGTTGTCGGTGCACTCTTCCGCTACCACCACCACCTCCTCCTCCTCCTCCTCCTCCTCCTCCTCGTCTGCAGCAGCTTGCCCAGCACCGCTTCCCTCGTCTCTGCCGACACCGTCAACATCGACGCTGCCACTTGCCCGTTCATCGCTGTCCCCGTTCCGACTGCAGTGTCGCGCCAAGTCCACGCTTACACACGTGGACGAGGGCGGCCGTGCTCGCATGGTGGATGTTGGGATGAAACATCCGCAACGCAGGACCGCGATTGCGTCATCCCGTGTCCGTGTATCGCAGGGCGTGGCAGACGTGTTGCTGTCCTCCGACGGTGCAGTTGCCAAGGGCAACGTGTTGCAAATCGCACACTTTGCCGGCATCTGTGGCGCCAAGCACACGGCCACGCTCATCCCGCTCTGCCACAACATTCCCATCGACGCAGTCGACATGCGTGTTGTGCTGTCGGAATCTGGCCGTGAGGTCGTCGTGCTCGCACGCGCACGCACGACAGGTGTGACGGGCGTGGAGATGGAGGCCATGACCGCTGTGAGCGTTGCTGCGCTCACCGTGTACGACATGGTGAAGGCCATTGACAAGAGCGTGTGCATTGCAGAGACACGCCTGCTTCTCAAGAGTGGCGGGAAATCGGGTCTGTTCATCGCCTGTGACAGCAGCAGTTATGATGATGATGATGATGATGGTGGTGGTGGTGGTGGTGGTGGTGGTGGTGCACGTGACAAGTTTCGATTCCTTCCAGCTGAGGTGCCGGCTGAGTGGCTTGGGGACTTGTAAATGACTGACACATGTGTGGTTGTTGTATGTCTGTGTGATTGCTCTTGCTGACTCTCTTTTCCTTTGGCATTTCTCCTTTGCTTTGTGTGAGTAAACAGGCCTGGTGTGTGTGTAGAACTTGTGAGCAGCACGCCGGTCACAATAAACACTTGTGGCAATGATTGTGTTGCATGAAGGATGGTGTGTTTTCTGTCTCGCTCTTCTCAGGCGCGAGGTGTTGGTGGTGCACGCGACTCCCAGCTGTCCTCACATCTCCATCCCATGATTTAATGTCGAACAATTCCGCTATCTTCGTCTTTTTTTTTTTTTTTTTAACTTGGTTCTCGTCTGCCTGTCTGCTGGGAATCGCCCGGGGGGTGGGGGTGGGGGTGTTGGTCTTCGTGCTTTTGCACCACACGTTCTACGCCTTGCGTCAAGCCTTTGACTCGCTGGCCACGGAAACGTTTCAAGTTGAAAAGAGGCAATGGTACCCGCCCACCATCTTTCCCCTCTCTCTCTCTTTTTTGTTTCTGCTTCTCCTCGTGTGGTCCAACACTGCAACATGCTGCTACCTTGCTACATCACCAGGTGCGAACGACCACAGCCTCCTCTTCCCCCGTGACCTGGTATATATGACGAGCCATGGCATCCGAGACAACCATTCTCCAACACTCGCGTATACATGCGCAATTCCTTTGTTTGTGTGGTGTTGTGTATTGATGCCAAATTCACACCACGCGCGATTGCATTCGCAAAGCGTCCGGCGTTGAAGACGAAATAATTCATCCAGGGGCGCGGGCCGACAGCAACGCGTGGAACAAAGCAAAGGGGAGGGGTTGTTGTCGCTGTTGCTTGAAAACTAACGCGGCACGCATGCATGACACGACGACACGACATGCCCCCATCAGAAGCTGTAGGAGCAGAAGCCGCCATCGACCGAAAGGGTCTGGCCCGTGATATACGAGGACGCGGGCATGCACAGGAAGACGACGGGCGCGGCAACCTCGTGCACCTCGCCAACCCTGCACCAAGCACAACAACAAGAGCGACAGGCACGGCATAACGCGTGAATGTATTGCGTGTGTGCGTGCATGTGTGTGTATTGTGTGTGTGTGTGTGTGTGTGTGTGCAACGTGCATGCGTGTGTGTGTGTGTGTGTGTGTCTGTGTGTGTGTGCAACGTGCATGCGTGTGTGCGGCAACCAGACCTGCGCATCGGCGTGCGGGAGACGACTTCGTCGAGATAGTCCTTGTTGCTGAGTACGCCCTCCACCAGCGGCGTGCGAATGTACCTGTGCGGCCGCATACCAGCGCATGTGAGCACAGAATTAAAAACAGAGGCAGGGCAATAAGTAAGCTGACATGGCCTGCACACGCCAGCACAGCAACGACAACAGAAACAACACAAGCCACCACAGAATCACCACCAGGAGCAGCGCGATTGAAACCCACCAGGGGGCGACGCAGTTGACGCGAATGCGGTCCGCTGCCCATTCGCACGCCCAGTTGCGTGTGGCCTGTAAACGCAAACATTAATACCGGTGAGCGCACCAGCAGCAGCAAAGGCAACAGCAACAGTACAGCTGCCGCAAGCCCTCGTCTGCCCCACACCGCCTGCACAACAGGCACACACACACACACACACACACACACACACACACACACACACACACACACACACACACACACACAGCACCTGTTCCATGGCGGCCTTAGTCATGGCGTACGGCACACCGCTGCGGATACCGGTGTGGCCGGCGACACTGCCAACGAGCACGACAGACGCAGAGCCGGAGCGCTTCAAGTGCCCGTGCAGGCGACTGAATTGGAAGGGGGGGGGGGGGTGGGCGAAGAAGGAGGTGTGGGCTGAGGGCGTGAATGTCGTTGCACAAGACGCTGGTGCAAGAGCAGTGACACAGACGCACACAGGCACGCACGCAGGCACACACACAGACACACACAGGCACGCACGCACACACACAGACACACACAGGCACGCACGCAGGCACACACACACACACACACACACACACACACACACACACACACACACACACAGAGCACTAGCCTCTGGAGTCACCAACCGTGTGAGGTGAAAGAAGGACATCATGTTGGTGTTGACGATGGACGACACCTCCTCCTCCGTGTACTCGGTCGTGGGCTTGCGGATGTTGAATCCGGCGTTGTTGATGAGAATGTCGAGCGATTGTCCGATGTTCTGGTTCACAAACGCCACGACACGCTCCCGCCCCTCGCTGGTGGACACATCAGCCGTGCAGCCAACGGCAGTGCCAGCACCGTGCTCCTTGATGATCTGCGAGACCTTTGCCTCCACATCGCTCTCCGTACGGGCAACGATGACAACGCGGCAACCGAGACGTGCGAGCTCGTCGGCCACGCTGCTGCCAATGCCCTTTGTCGCCCCCGTGACGAGTGCCGTCTTGCCAGACAGCGACCACCTGTTGCACGAGAGACAAGGTGGGCGGGCGTGGGGAACAAGGTGGGAGGGTTGTTCGAGTGGATTGTACGGGTGAACACGGCACACACACACACACACACACACACACACACACACAGACAGCAGGCACCTATAAACGCACGTCCACCAGAGCCACACATCTCCTCAGTACAAACACCAGCAGCGCACCTGGCAGCAGCTGGCATGTGTGTGCCCACAATCTCGCGCAGGTGGCGCTGGAAGCGCGGGCAGCGGTACAGATCAGCCGTGCTCTCGGCGGGAGATTTGAATTCAAGACCAAGCACCGTCTTCGCCTTGGTGCAGTCCGCAACAATCCCCCGCTGGTCCGCAGACTCGGGCTCAACCTGTACATTCGCGTGCAGGTGTCAATGATGTTGTGTTGCGCGCGCGCGTGTGCGTGTTGCGTGTGTGCGTGTGTGCGTGTGTGTGTGCGTGTGCGTGTGTGTGTTGCGCGTGTGTGCATGAGCGGACGAGTTTAGCACCAGAAGCCTTGTCAACACTGTACTCGCAACCAGCGCAGAAGACCACCGTCTACTGTCCACTGCCCCTCCCCCCCCATCCGTGTCGTTACCTTCTCTGGGAGGAGGCGGCTGAACTCTGGCGGGAGGGCGTGGCGGGCATCGCGCACAAGATGCGACCACCGCTCCGTCCCGGCCACCAGAAGGAACCTGACACGTGGCATGGTGGGTCGCGTGCGTATAAAAATATATATTGTGTGTGTGTATTTGCGGAGGAGGGGCGGGGGATGAGAAGTTGAAGTTCGTCGTTATCGGCTTGAAGGATTGCGCGCAGATTCTTCGCCAACAACTTGAAGAAACCGTGCCCAAGACACACACACACACACACACACACACACACACACACACACACACACACACACACACACACACACACACACACACACCTACCTGCCCTTTGCCTCTTTGTTCTCGTAGGCGAGGATGTGGGCAAGAGCAACATCCCGCACGTCAACAAATGTCATGAAGCCGCTAGGGATGACGGGCTTGCGACCATTGAACATGTCCAGCAGGAACTGCACGTGGGAGTGGAAGGAAAGGAAGGAAGGGAGGCGGGTGGAGGCAACCAAGGACATGCATACGGTAAGTAATCGCCAGGCAGGCTCGTATGAACACATAGACACACAGACACACACACACACACAGGCAGACACGCAGGCAGACACACACACACACACACAGATACAGAGGCACACAGACAGACAGACAGCAGACACACACACAGACAGACACACACAAACACATACACACACACATCAACTGTACCTCGTTGCTGGTGTTCATGGTGGGCTGATACATCGGACCGATGATGAGGGTGGGGTTCATGACGACCAGCCGCATGTCGGGGCACTCCTCCTCAACAAACTTCCAGGCAGCGCGCTCCGCCAGGAGCTTGGAGACGCGGTACATAATCTTGCGCTCGCGGAGCCAGGCCTCATCCGACCAGTCCTCCTCCGTGAACACGTGGTCCTTTGGCGTGTCCTTTGCAAAGACGGTTGCGGTGGAGCTGGTGACAATGACCTCCTTGATGTTGTTGGCCTTGGCGGCGCGCAGCACGGCCAGCGTACCCTGCACTGCGGGCTCCACCAAGACGTGCTCGTCGTTGGTCATGTGGAAGAAGGGGCTCGCCGTGTGGAACACCACGTCGCACCCTGACACCGCCTTTGCAATAGACTCTTCATCCAGCAGGTTTGCCTGCACCAGCTCCAACCTGTGCGGGTTGAGGGTGACAGTGAACGAGAGGGTGGTGTGACAAAGCAGGTACGCACAACGGACGCATACACGCACACGGGCAGACGGGCAGACGGGCAGAGGGTTCAGAGAGGAGTGCAGGCACACACTGTACACCGTGACACACACAAACACACACACTGTCACAACACAAACACAAACACAAACACACACACACACACACACACACACACACACACAGACAAACACACATGCACACACACACGCAAACACTCCTTCATTCACACACAATAGCCACACCTCACGACTCACTTGTCACTGTTGGGCAAGCTCCGCAAGTGGTCTGTCTTGATGGGGTTGTGCACGTCGCGAACCGTTGCGCGTACATTGTAGCCCCTCTCCAGAAGCATGGCGACCACGTGAGCACCAAGGTACCCACTTCCGCCAGTCACAAGCGCCAGCACCATTGTCTTGTCTTGTTGTGTTTGTGTGTATTGGGTGTCGTGTTGTGTTCGGTGGTTTGGAGGGAGGAAAGAGAATTAATTGCACAACACACACAACACAGCCACACACAGACACACACCACAGACGCAGAGGATGTTGTCTGGGGTTGTTGGGTTTGCACGGGAGACGCTGACGGACTGGCGTGTGTCATGGCGCATGGCGACGCTCGTGTTCGCAGCGGAGATTGCGCTGCTCTGGGCCATCATCCACTTTGTCTCATGTGAGTGGAATGTTGCCAGTGTGCAGTGATGCCTCGTGTGGGTGTGATCCTGACATTGACTGGAACGCTCCCTCACCACACACACACACACACACACACACACACACACACACACACACACACACACACACACACACACACACACACACACACGCAATGAACAGATACGGAGATTGACTGGAAGGCGTATATGGATGAGGTGGAAGGCTTCTTGAATGGCACACACGACTACACCCAGCTCAAGGGAGACACGGGCCCACTTGTGTAAGTTTGCACACCCAAGATGCAGACGCAGACGCAGGTGGAGGTGGGGGTGAAGATGGAGAGGGGAGAGCTGAAGCAAGATCGAGAGACTGAGAGACCGAGCGGTGCTCACACAACATGCCTCCACTCACTCACTGACACACACACACACACACACACACACACACACACACACACACACACACACACACACACACACACACACTCACACTCACACACACCAACTCACACGCACATACACACACACAGATACCCTGCTGGGTTTGTGTACATCTTTGCAGGGTTATACCATGTGACAGGACAAGGAGCTGATATCCTGCTGGCACAATACATCTTTGCTGGCGTCTACCTGGCCTTCCTCGCGCTTGTCATGTACCTCTACATTGCAACGAAGGTATGACCAGCTCCATAATCAGCACATCATGATGGTTGCGAACGACTCGTCCTTGTCGTTGCCATGACCACCACCTGCACCTTCATTGCTCGCACTGTACCGTGCATCCGCTCATCTATCGTCGTGCTTGTGTTTGAAAACCCCACCACGCGTCCTTGCGGCAGCAACCGCCGTACCTGCTGGCAGTCATCGCGCTGACGGCGTTCCGGGTGCACTCCATCTTCGTGCTTCGCCTCTTCAACGATCCGGTCGCCATGCTCTTCTTCTATGCCGCCTGCGCGCTCTTCGTCAAGTACAAGTGGACGGCCGGCTGCGTCCTTTTCAGGTAAGCAAGCTGCGGCCGCGATTCTGACGACTCTTCTCGTTCACACACACACATCCTTCCATGCATGTGCACAACTACACACACGCTCACACACCCGTGTTCATCTACATCACCTCCCTCGCCCCCCACCTTCTTGGCTGCAGTCTTGCTGTGTCCATCAAGATGAACGTGCTGCTGTTTGCGCCGGGCCTGCTTCTGCTTCTTCTTCTCCACTGCGGCTTCGCCGGCGCATTCTGGCGAATCGCTCTCTGCGGCCTCATTCAGTGTGTGTGTGTGTGTGTGTGTGTGTGTGTGTGTGTGTGTGTGTGTGTGTGTGTGTGTGTGTGTGTGTGTGTGTGTGTGTGTGTGCGTGCGTGTGTGTGTGTTCATTTTGTAGGCCTTCTGTGCAGCAAGCACCCGCCCCGCTCCCAGAATCACACAATTGCCCCCCCCCCCCTCTTACATCACGGCATCATCACCAAAATGACACACCGCATGTGCAGGTTGCGCTTGCCGTCCCGTTTCTGCTGGAGAACCCGATCGGATACATTGTCCGCTCCTTCAACCTTGGCCGCCAGTTCATGTACGTGTGGACGGTCAACTGGCGCTTTCTTCCGGAAGAAACGTTTCTGGACCGACGATTTCACGCAGGGCTCCTCCTCCTGCACATTGCTCTCCTGTCCGCTCTTGCGTACAAGTGGTCAAGGTCAGTTGTGCTCAGTGCTCGCCACATATTGGCGCACGAGGTGGTGGCGGTGGTGGTTGCGTGTGTATGCGTGTGCTTTGTTTGGATTAGCGTGCTGTGTGCTGTGCATGCTCTTTCATGCATTTTCATGTGTGGCGCTTACACATTCACACACACACACACATTCACACACACACACATTCACACACACTGAACACGCACACTGAACACACATTCACCCCCCCCCCCCACACACACATTCACACCCACATTCACACACACACACACACACACACACACACACACACACACACACACACACACACACACACACACTCACACACATTCACTCACACACACACATATCCCCCCGCCCAAAACACTCAAACAGACGGTTCAGTGTACGTGACTTTGGGCGGTGCCGGTTCGATGCACGAGGCATCCTGCTGACGCTGTTCGCCTCCAATCTCGTTGGGATGGCTGTTGCCCGCAGCTTGCACTACCAATTTTACATCTGGTACTATCACTCCATCGCCTGGCTTCTCTGGAACTCAAAGCTGCCATTCCTACTCAGGTCGTGTGCGTGTGCGTGTATGCATGCGCGTGTGTATGTACGTCTGTGCTTGTGCGTGTGCAGGTATGCACGAACGTGTACGGGTATGTGTATGTATTTTGTCTCTTGTGCATTTCTGGTTGTGTGCGTTGCTCACACTCATTTGATCTCTGCCCCCCCCCCCCCTCACACGCATACACACCGCGCAACAACTCCCCTTTCATCATCGCTTTAGGTGTGCTGTTCTCGTGGGGATTGAGTTTGCCTGGAACACCTATCCGTCCACAGACATCAGCTCAGCTGTTCTGCACGTGTGCCATTTCATCATGATCATTGCTGTGTTCACTGCAACCACACCGACACCACACAAGATCAAGTCTGCATAGCTGCACATGTTCATGTTTCGATAGGCAGAATGTATGTGTCACATCACATCATGTCACCTGCAAAGCTTGGATCCTTCTAGCGGTGACTGAGAACGGAAATGAAGACCGTACACACACACCAACACGTCTCAAAGCAGACAACACCAAAGCATCGGCTGAACAACCTCGCAGCCACCAGCCAAGCAAGGGCACATCACTGAAACAACGGAGAAATGAAAAGCAAACACAGAATAATAACAGTGGAACGTAAAGGAAAGCAAATAACATCAGGCCCGGCAAGAGCCACGCCTTGAATGCGCTCCACCCTCACACCATCACCACTATCAAAAGCCGCAGCACTGTCGTCCAAGCGTGTGAATAACAACTGCAAGCAAGCAACCACTGCTGGTTGTAAATGCCAGCTCAAGCCACCTTCGACCAAACACCTGGCTGCTCAGCCAAGGAGGTGGTTGAGGTAGTGGATGCCTGGCTCGTCCACCTTGTCCGAAACGCCCTTGGGCTGCGGCATCTGGCGCATGCTGCGTCGCTTCTTCTGGCGGATGGACGGAATCAGCTGTTCCAACGTGGCGGACATTCTGTCCAGTCCCGCCTCCAATTGTACTTGAAGCTCTAAATGCTCCTCCGAGATGAGCCGGCGGTGAACCTCCACGCCTGCGCGCATGTGCTCCAGCAGTTTCTCAAACAAATCAGACAGTTTCTGCAACCAAACACCGCGCGGGGGGGGGGGGGAAATAAATGAAGTTGAAGAGGTGAGATGCCGGAGTGATGGAAGGGCAGCAGGAGGAAAGGCGTAGGTACGTGTGTATGTATGTATGTGTGTGTATGTATGTGTGTGTACGTGTGTGTGTGCATGTGTGTATGTGTGTGTGTGCGTGCGCGTATGTGTGTGTATGTGTGTGCATATAGGCGCGGGTGTTTGTGCGCATGCTTGTGAAGATGTGATGGCGACCAGCACCTGCATGTGTGCCACCCCATGCTCGTGCACAAGCAACGCACTCCACATACTCTGATGTCGCGCTTTGGGAATTGGTCCTTCTTGCCAAGAAACTCGGCTGCGTACTGCATCGGCCCCGCATTCACCTGAAACACACAACCACACGCACACACATGAAGACACACAATCACACACTCCTTTGTTACATTCGCTTGCGCACAGAATAACCATGACCCACAAGTGTCGCTCACAACATCAACCGCCATCAGCCAACGGCCACCAGGCAACTGCCACCAGCCAAGCACATGGCCGCACCTGGGAGGTGAGGGTGCCCTGAAGTTGGAGCTGCAGCATCACGAGGTTCGGGATGGATGCCTCGACAATTTCCTCAATCTTGAGCAGTTTCTTCGTCATCTCATCAATGGCAACGCGGATTGGGCTCAGCTCGATGATTGTGTGCGGCTGCTGCACTTCAAGCCTGCAAGCAAACGAAAATAATAATCAAAGCATGATGGGAAGATGGGAGGGTTGGCGAATGTTATGATGATGCAGATGCAGATTATTCTTGAACACAGGTGGCTGCAAAAACATATTTCAAGACACACACACACACACACACACACACACAGACACATACAGACACACACACACACACACACACACATGTGCGGACATGCATAGAGACGGCACCTCTTGCGGAGGGCGGGGAAGAAGGCCGAGTTGGCGAGGGTGAGAATGGTCTTGCGTTTGCACTGCTCCGTCACAGATTCGCTGCGCGCTTTTCCAGATGCTGTAAACGGCGTCTCGTAAATAAAACGCTGCAATTTGTAGTTGCGGTGGAAATGAAACGCGCGTTCTGCCAGCTCCTCCTCATCAAAATACGGCTCCACGTGTGTGATCTGCAGATAGGCCTTGCTTGCATCAAGCGTGCTTGCGTCCACGTCATTTGAGTCCGTGATCATCTCAAGCGCTGCCTTGCCGGCAAGATGCTTTGTGTAGAGCGACTTGAGACGAATGGAGACTGTTGCGAGCGGCGTGATGTTCGGCTCCTTGTAAATAAACTCCTTGCCGTCCATAGTCTCAAACGCAGCGCCAAAGAACTTGACGCGGTAATACGTCGCAAAGTGACGCATGCGGTTCCTATTGCATTCAGTGCGTGCGTGTGTGTGTGTGTGCATGTGTGTGTGTTGAAGGTGGGGTTGCATATGCGTGAGTGACGGAAGGCAAGACAGACACACACACACAGACACACACACACACACACAGACATGTACACGCGTGGTGCACACGCAGGGCAGACCAGAAAGCACAAAAAAGGGCGGTGCTCGACTCAGGCGGGAGTTGACATCACGCATGGTTACACACTTGTTTGCCTGGAGAATGTGTTCGTAGCACTCGTGCAGATCGCTGTGCGCTTCGGAGAGCAGCGTGTACCGATTCTGCTCCTCAAATCGCGGTGTGATCAGGTTGTACAGTTTGCTGAAGAGTAACACGGACCATCCCACATGCACGTGTTCACGAAGGCGAGACGTCAGTACGATGTCCAGCGGCAATAAGACCAGCACAACGCACAGAAGCACGCTTCTTGAACGTTGAGTGACACATCTAAATATAACGACATACTAGCCCCTACTAGAGATATACCTACAAGATGCTATCAATAGGCCCCCGGCACAGTGACTGTCGCTGGACAACACACACACACACACACGCACCGACGAGTTCGTAGTATTCTGCGCGCTTGAAACAGGAGATGGCGACGCGAAACCATGTGCACCAATCTGTGGCAGCAGCGAGCAGTTGTGCATGCACATGTGCGTGTGCGTGTGCGTGTGCGTGTGATGTGAGGTGTATGATGAGCAACAAACACACGTTCGCTGAATGAGCGTGTGATTGTGCGTGCGCTGTGCATACTGACAACAACAACCTCCCACTGCCGCCGCCACCGCCACCACCACTACCATCCTTTCTGCCATCTCGCCACCACTCACCTCGCGTGGTGAAGAGAGGAGACGTGAGACTCTTTGCTTGCTCAACAGCAAGCGCATCCAGTCGCTCCATGTTGATGTTTGGCGAAATCGCTTCAAAGTCCTTCAAACCTGCAGTGGATGCAGGATAAAAGGAATTGAGATGACGCTGGAAAAAAAAACGGCTGGGGCAGAGCAGTGATTGCACTGGCGTGTGTTGCACCTTGTGTGTGTGTGTGCGCGCGCGTGTGTGTGTGTGCGTGTATGTGTGCGCGCGCGTGCATGTGTGCGCGTGTGTGCTTCATGGTGTAACAACATGTCGTACACACACATACACATACACACACATGCACACACACACACAAGAGCAAGAAACGCACATGCACACAAAACGAAGGAAACGTTGCGAGCGGAGGGACGTACGGTATGGGGAGTTTGGATCTCTTACAGCGAGGACCTGGGCGGTGATGGCGGCGCCGTGCACAACACACATGCCCGCCTCAACCCAGCACTTGCTCTCGGCCTGGTTGCTTGCCATCCTGTCACGTGTACCACACAAGCCAATGTGGGTGTGTATGTGTATGTGTATGTGTGTGTGTGTTGGCACATGCGTGAGTGTAGACATACGCGTGTGTTGCGTGTGCGTGCATGGCACGAAACCATCGATTGGCACAGCAATTGTGGATGCAGTGTGATGCAGGCACAACCCCGACTGTGCGTTGTCGTACTTTTCCAGCCACGTGAGGCGAAGGTCTGGTGATGTGGAGTAGGAGTTGGCAACGTCCCACTGATTGCAACGACAACACGTGTGTACAAAGCAGGGGCAAGGTGCGTGGTTGTTGTGGTTGTGAGCAAATACCAATGGTCAATGGTCAAGATGAAGGCTGACAGAAGCAGAGGAACACATCAGGCCAAGCGCACCAGCAGCTCCATGTACAACCGGCACACGATCACGTTCCAGGCGTCATGTTGCAGCATTGTCACACCTGTAGATCAACAAGCGTTTCGGGATCGCTCTTGTACTGTTGGAATTTGGATGTGTTCACGAGCACCGTCCTCACACGTCGCATCAGCCCTTCAACCTGATATGGTGCAAAGGAAGGTCAGCAACGATCAGTTAGAAATTCAAATACAGGAGTACACACGCGTGGCAACGCAAGCGTAACCACTGATGGATAGATACGCACCAAGATGGACGTAGACGAGCACGCACACACAGGTACACACACGCACACGACACGTACACACACATGCACACAACACACATGCACAACACACACACACACACACACACACACACACACACACACACGTGCGACCGCACCTCGCTGGAGAAACCGGGCTGGCTGCGCGCAGCGTTTGCCTGCGCCAATTCAGCGACTTTGTCAATTGCCGTCTGCAACCGCTTGTCCGCGCTCTGGTGGGAGGGGAAGGGAAAGTGATGTGGAAAAGATGGTGTTGGTGGTACTTACCAGCCACAAGCCAAGACGCACAATTGCACTGCCTCCAACTTCCATACTTGCACACACACACACACACACACACACACACACACACACACACACACCTCTGTGAGAGTGCCTGCGATCTTGGACACGGAGACGAGGACGTCTTGCGTCATGCGCGAAATGTTCTGCTTGAGGAGAAAATAGAGCAGAACGGCACTGTACTTTTGCAAGCGGGGCAGGGAGCTGCTGCACGCACGCAGCGCCTGTGGTGTCACGTCACGTCACGTCAAGTCCACGGGTGGAGCGTGGATGATAGTGTCAAACGCGCGTGAGAGAGAGAGAGAGTGTGTGTGTGTGTGTTTGTGGGGGGGGGACGGAAAGCGGGGAGAATGTGCACACAATGCAATGTTCACAGTGCAAATCTTGACAGTGCAACGTGCAAAATGCACTCTTCAAAGTGGAGCCAGACACTACGCGAGGACTACTCACCGTGTGGCAGAGCTCTTGGTTGTAGTCGACTTGTGGGTTGAAGAGGACAGTTGGGTAGGTCTCTGCAAACGCTTTGATGGATGCAAACACGTGTGGCACGATGTTGTCGCTGGGCTCCTTTCGCAGGAGTTCAAGCAGAATGCCAAACGAGTCCTGCGCAACGTAGTTCATGCCGTCTTGCTCCTCAATCGTGTCCGGAAAGTCTGAACAGGGCGTGCACATGATGATGGCGATACAGCAGTGATTGCGGCAGAGGTGAGGCAATGATTGCGACAACCGCACATGCGTGAGCTCCACGGAGTCCACACATGCACATTTGTACAGGTACAGGTGGGCATACAGACAGACAGACAGACAGACAGACGGACAGACAGACAGACAAACGGACAGACACCCACACACACACACACACACACACACACACACACACAAGCACCCCCCCCCACACACACACAAGCATACGCGGAGGCACGTGCCCACAAGAAGATGATATTGTGTTCACCTTGGAGGATGAGTTCGAGCATCTCAAGGACGACGAATGCGCTCTCCATGGCGAAGTGGCCGGCATGCAGCACCGCCTTGTCAATCTGCACACGTTCACACACGTAAACATATTTGTCCGTCAAATGAAATAGAACACGCAGCAGCGAAACATCCACGCCACACGGCAGGTACTGTTCGTGTACATCCACTCAAAACACTAGCAACAACATTCAACAAAACCCTCACCATCAACCGTACGACATCGTCACCACCGTCATCAACAAGCGCCATCCACACGGCACGACACAACACAGTACAACACAACACAAGACAACACAAGACAACACAAGACAGCACAGTACAATACAACACAACAACACAAAACCAGCACGAGCAATCGGGCACCTTCTGCGGGGAGAGTGCGCCCTGGAGTGCAGAGGAAGAGCCGACGGTGGAGAGGCGGAATCGAGTCGTTGACGACTGCTCTTCAAGCGGCGGCACAGGCGACGTCCCACTCCGCTCAATGCTGGAGATAAAAGAGGGGGTGGCGATGGGAGAGGTGGGAGGTTGGATGGCAGCGGTGTTGTACGGGAGCCAACAGGACAGCAGCAAGCAGGAGAACCGAGCCATTCACCTTCAACACACACGCACGCACACATACAACACTCGTACGTCTTCTTGCGGGGTGTGCCGAGGTGGGACCCGTTTGGTGTGGAGGCAGAGAGTGATTGACGATCAACAACGCTGCGTGTGCGTGTTCGCCAATCGATCAGACCGCTGGCAGAGCTTCCTTTCCGCTTCACCGTTGTGTATCCTTCCTCAATGATCCTGGGATGATAGGGCGCAATCAATGAGCACAGTGCGTGCACACGTGCGACACACACACACACACATGCAAGACAGCAAAGATGTTGATGAGCACATGGCAAGGCAGCATAACCATACAAACCTGCGCGCAGTGTCATGCAGAGAGACAACAAGCGATGTCATGATGTCACAACAACTTAAACAACAACAACAACAACTTAAACAATAACAACAACAACTTAAACAACAACAACAACAACAACAACAACAACAACAACAACAACAACAACAACAACAACAACAACTTCAACAACAACAACAACAACAACTTCAACAACAACAACTTCAACAACAACTTCAACAACAACAACAACTTCAACAACAACAACAACGACAACAACAACAACAACACCACCACCACCACCACCAGCCATTGCGCCACCATGCATACTTGATTGCGTGCTGGTGGGTAATTGGGGCGTCCATCATGGCCGCCACAATCTCCTTGCGCCCCTTGAAGTGGAACGTGTCAATGGCATGACGCAACACGTCAAAGAACGAGCGCGAAAACGCCGTGCGGTGGTAGTAGATGATGAGCTGTGGGTCGTAGTTCTTCAGCACAAACAGGAAACACGCAAGCAGGTCCCGCGTTGCGTCGTGGCTTAGATGCAGCGGCGACCGCGGCTCGGCTGGGCGGTGAACACAGCATGACATACATGGCGTGTGAGTTGAAGTGTGTGTGTGTGGTGGGTGGGTGAAACGAAGTGAGTGTGAGCGTGTGTACGTGTAGATGTGGTTGAGGTGTGGTGGTGGTTGTGGAGCTGTGCTCGCGATGTGAGGCCTATTCAACAGCATGCATGGAAGTGCTCCGTGCAACAGGTGTTCAAATAATTCCATGCACACCTGACACCAACAGCATTATCAGCATCAGCATCAGCATCACCACCACCACCCTAATTGCCTCCCCCCCCCCCAACCGCCGCCATCACATCGTACCTGTGCTTGACGTTGTGAGGTACTGGCTGTGTGCAGTGACCATGTGCACGACAGGAAAGTACAGCATGGCCACGCGTTCGCGCGCTGCTCGCGACGATGCCGTCAGCTGCCGGTCGTGGCGCATCAGCACATTCCGCAGCGTCGCAATCGCACGCTGGCGCAGACTGAAATGCACAGGGGGGGGGGTGCGGCAGGTTTGTGGATGTGATGCATGAGTGGCAGGATTGTGTCGTATGGCTCAAAGGATGCATCGTCACGTGTACATATGCGCCACGGACTCACGACACGCGACACACACGACCCACACGAATACAATCTCTCACTCTCTCACACACCAACACATGTCTACAATCTCACACACTAACACACAGTGCATACTTTCGATCTGGGTGGTCAAGCATGGAGGTGACGTTGCTGAGGAGCACCCACGCCGGGTAGTGGCGGCGCTTGAAGGTGTGATCACACGCAGACACGCACTCATCAAGCGTCTCTGGCGACAGCGGCAAGTTGAGCGACACAAACTGCGAGTAACTGCAGATGATGCGGATGTAATCAAACTTGCACGCAACCTACAGCAGCGACAACAGGAGCGTGAGGTTGAGGATTGAGCGATGGCAGCCAGCGTTGTGTGATGATGGTGACGATGGTGATGATGGTAAAGCTCTCGCTCCCCGATGTGCCGAATTCACTCGACATGTCCATGCACACATGCACAACACACACACAGATGCACACAGAAACACACACACACACACACACACACACACACACACACACACACACACACACACACACACACACACACACACGA